CCATGCAGCCGCTGGTGAGCCAGAACTAGCAAATCATCCAACTCATGCTCTTCCAAGGAGGCATCGCCCCTCTAGCAGAAGGAGTCCCACTCCCCTCACTAAGGAGAAAAGCAACTACCTATCCTTTCTGGGCACCAGGCAAGACCACGCCAGGGTGCCTCTCGCCCAGTCCCTCCTCAACGCGCAGGGAGTCCACGAGCACCCCATCCTCATGAACCTGTGCAGGAGAACAAAGATAGAGGAAGTCAATACAAAGACCATGAAAGACAATACCACAACCTAATGGAGGATGTCCTTAACCAGTCGGCGAGAAGATTAGAGAAGTACAAAACCAACTCGACGATGCCCTCAGTGCCATCAAAGCATCGGCACCTGAAACCGTGGACTATTTGGTAAGAGGCACCGATACCCCTTTCATTGCTGATATCGTTAACTACCCTCTACCCTCGAAGTTCAAGATGTCCAGCTTCGAGATCTTCAATGGCACCAAGGACCCCCTAGACCATTTGGATACCTACAAATCCCTCATGCAACTCCACAATGTGCCTAAGTAGATAATGTGTAGAGCCTTCCATGGGGGCAAGAAAAGGAAGGACGCTCGCGAAAACAAGAAGAAGACAGAGAATAAGAGAAAGAGGACAGAGAGAATCTCTGTTAAGGACTGCCTTGGTCCCCCACCTCTTAGAGAACGACAAGGCTTTACGCTACTTAATGTTTCCATGGAACATATCCTGTTCCAAATATAGGATGACCCTACAGTATGCTGGCCAGAGAAGATGAAAACTGCCCCGAACCGGAGGAGTCTGAACAAGTACTGCCATTTCCACCACTTCCACCGCGACCACAGCTATGACACTGACGACTACTTTGATCTTAAAAGGCAGATCGAGGAGCTCATACAGCGTGGCCACTTGAAGCAGTATGTTGCTGGCAAAGGACAAGCCTCACAACTTGGTCGAGAGCAGGATGATACAGAATGCCAACAACCCCTCGGAGAAATCTAGACGATCACCTAAGGGCTAAGAGGAGTTGACTCGAACTCTGCCAAAAAAGCCTCGGCCCACCTATGGACGCTGAACACCAGAAGATTTTATCTATCCTTTATTGTTTCAGTTAATTTATTTTGTTATTTATTATTTTATGAAATAAAACTCTGCGAAGATTATTGTGTCTGAATTGTCTTCCTAAAATTTACAAATAGTTTTACAAAAGTCAGAGCATGACCTAATAACAAGGAAGACAAAAAAACAAAAGGCCCCATCGCCAGGCGCCCAACAGAAAGATAACTAAAGATGGGTCTCGTCCTCTCCACCTTGGGCGCCTTCTATGTTAGGACTATGACTCTGCTCTCGCGCAAGTAGTCACCTAGAAAAACCTATGCCACAACAACCATCTCCCGAGACTATACGTAACTTGGCCTCTATGACTCTGCTCTCGTGCAAGTCTCTCCCACGTCAATCATCTCCTGAGACTATACATAGCTCGGCCTCGGCTCATGCGGCCCTCTCACGGAACATCCATAGCTCTGACGTTGCTCTCATATAAACAGCATACCCCTCTCTCCAGGTAATCATGTCAAATATTTTAATGTTGAGATAACATTGTTTTTGCCAAGCACACTGTTAAAGCTCAGGTTATCTGCAACCGAGCCACTACTAGAAGCAGGGTGAAGCCACAATCCCCGTAAAAACTACACTGAAGCCTTAACTCCTACAGCGGTACAAGGATTAATTCTGATACACACAAAAGCCTCAATCTGGAAGGAGTGCGGGCACCACTGGATCCCGCACCCAGGAAACAACCTAGGCATCGAACCTTGGCCGAAAAGCACTAGGGGTATCAAACCTTGCCCTCTTGAGAGGAAGGAAAGACATCACTATAAAAGCAGAGAGAGTCCCCAAATCAACAGGGCGCTTATAATTAGAGACAAAGTCAGTCAGTGACCAAGTACCAGAGAGGCGCTGCCCATAGCGAGACTCAAGACGTCGCCCAAACATAGCAATTCCCAAGGCCTCCTAGAGTCACCCAAGGCTCCTGACCAGCCTCCTGTTGTCACCTAAGGTGCCTGCCTAACTTCCTGGCGTTGCCCAAGGCGCCTACCTAGCCCCTTGGCATTGTCCAAGGCGTTGCTCAGCCTCCTGACATCACTCAAAGCACCATATCAGCCTCCAGCGGTGCCCAACAGACCATCTCACTTGACCAACAAGCGTCACTCAAGGAGGAGGCAAAAGAGAGAGAGAGAGAGAGAGAGAGAGAGAGCAAGAGGGCGGCGCCCCGGGAATGAAGCTTAAAAAAAAGAGACAGAGAAGAAGAGGAAGCAGCAACAGAAGCAGGCGTCACCCAAGAAGAAAGAAAAAAAAAGAGAAAAAGAGGAAACAGTAGCAACAACAGGCGTCGCCCAGGAAGAAAAAAACAAAAAAAAAAAAAAAGCAAGGGCTAGCAGGAGGCGACGCCCAGACCAAAGGAAGAAAGAAGAAAATAAAAAAAAGAGAGAGAAAAAGAGGAGCAAAAAGGCAGTGCCTAGCCCAAGAAAAAAAAAGGAAGATAAGTCAACAAAAGGGGTGGTGCCCAACCAGCCCAAGAAGGAAGAAAAAAAAAGAGAGAAAATGGCAAAGGAGGTGGTGCCCAGCCCAAGCAAGGAGAAAGAAGGAAAAAAAAAAAGGAGGAGGGGGTGCCAAACCAAAAGAAGAAAGAAAAAAAGAAAGAAAAAAGAAAAGAGAAGCAGGCCCAAGCCCATGAAGACCAAGAAGGAAAAAGAAAGCGAAGGAGGCCCAAGCCCATGAAGGCCAAGAAGAAAGAAGAAAAGAAAAAAAAAAAGAGAGGAAGAAGGGAGTCAGCAAGTCAAAAAAAGAAAAGAGAGAGAGAGAAAAGAAAGCCAAAGGGCCAGCGCCCAAGGAAGGAAGCAACAAAAAAAAATTGATATCGAAAAATTCAGTGAGTCCCCGAAGATAAAATATATATATATATATATATATATATATATATATATATATATATTTCGACTCACCCAGATGAAACGAAGCACATGCCCTCAACCCCTTCCACGCGAAGAAAGTCAGAGGCTCGGGGCATGGGGGACAAATGATGAGCCCAAATTTCACTGGGCCGAGCCCAATCTAAATGAACCAAGAAGGCCCAATGAAAATCCAACCGAGGCTAGATCAACCAAGGAGTCCAAGTCACGGGAGCCTAAAAGGAGTTAGACCTGCTCGTAAATCATCAAGGAGTCTAGTGGAGCCCAAGCCAAAGGGCACACGTCCAAGAGTACCCCAAGGGGGCGCCGCCCTTATGGTCGCCAAATGGGTGTCACCTATGGCCTGCCCTCCTGTTCCTCTTCTGCCCTCTTCACTCCAATGCAAATCCAAGTCCAGCCTACTCCAAATCCAAGCCCAAGATCAGGGTCATCCTCCGACGGAATAGGAGCACAAGGAGAAAATATCGGGATACGCTCGGAGATCTAATCCTACCATAACAGTACTTGCCAAAATGGTAGAAGTCCTCTCCCTCACATCACCGTCTCACCGCCTTACTAAGCCTGTATAATGTAAGCCCTCTCCACATAGAGGGCATCTCCTTATGACTTTAAGATCTTGGCATGACCTTAAGACTTTTACAAGATCCCTACACACACTACACCTCCCTACACACATTGTTCTCTCTCTCTCTCCAAAGTATTGTAATACTCCTGGAATTACTCTCCTGGTGATATTATTTATCAATAAAGATCTCCGGCACCCTTACATATAAGGATCTCTTTGTGTTAATTTCATATTTACTGTTTTGCCACTGATTTTTTATTTATTGCTCATTAATTGCACCCTTACATATACTCGACTGTTGATTTTGTGCAAAGCCGATTTGTACATCATCAATTGTCAATATCCTAATAAATGCTTATTTTTTAAGAATAACATAATCAATTAAAAATTTTACAGATACTGATATTTATACATAGAGCATAGAGAATTAAAAGAGATGTTAGAGATAATTTGGAGATTTAAACACATAAAGATATGATGATAATTTAGATATTTAACTATGTAAAGATAATGTAATATTTAAAATTCTTTATTAAGGTAAAATAGTGAATCAAAATTTTTTCACGTTAAGGTAGTTTTATTAGTAGTAAAGATAATTAATTTTTATTTATCTAAATATTTTTTATATATTTTTAGATACCTAAAATTTTGATATCCTACATTACATGTTAATGGTTCACATTTTAATCTGAATTTTGTTAGCCAGATATTAATTGATATTTTTGACAGATTATCTAATTCTAATTTTTGAATTCTAGCATGACTAATTGATGAAATTGAGTTAAAATACATATATAATTAGTAAAATTTTTCTTAACTTGAATTGCTTGGTTTGCTCAGATTTTTTTATCACAATCAAATTTTTAAGAAATTCAAATATAGATATTGTAAAAATAAAATCAGTGAAATAGACAAATCAAATTTGAATTAAAGTTTTTAAATGGAACTTGATTAGAAAATGTTGATCCAAACGTGAATAAATTTTTGGTGATTAAAAGTTCAAAGGGAAAAAAGGAATGCAATGCAATTAGGACGTCAATGTAACAAAGCATCAAAACTAGTACTTAATTGTCCTACTAGCATTTTTTGCCGGAAAAATACCAACTATATGTATTTTTTTTTCTTTTTTCTACTGTTTAATTGAAAAACGACAAAAGGAAAGTAAACATATTAATGTTGTAAGGTCATTTGGTTTTTACTGTGGAACCAAGACCAGGGGTTTGGATCATCACCAAACATTTTAAAACCCAACCGTCACGTTTCGCAACGGTCCTAAACCGCCACTCTCCCGCCTTCTCTCATCTTTGTAATCCCTAATCATCAAACTGTCATTCAAACTCTTCCCATTGCCCTGTCTCAAGTGCTAACACTGGTGTTTGAGATCATCCAACGAATTCACCGTAGCGGCGCTTGGTTTACCCCAGGCGTCGCCTCCTCCACCGCCCTATCAGACTGAAAGTGATGGCAGAACCATCAACCACTGTTTCCTATCACAACCCATTTGATCATTACCTTTCCAGCATTGAAGAGATCCTAATGTCAGATGAAAATCCGAGTTTCGATCTCTCCGAGTTACCTTCTTTCCCGGAAAAGAATTCCTGTGACATATTAATCTCTCAATCCGGTGATGATAATATTTCAGACCCGGACGATCCCCTTGTGGATCCATTTGTTTGGGATGTTTTGAATGACTCCGATGTTAACAGCTCTCAGGCAGGGCCTTCTGAAATTCATGGCGAAAGAATTGGCCATGACAGAGAAAATAGTAATCCAGAAAATTTGGGTATTGGAAATCCGGTGCCATTGTCTATTTGGCCTGTGTCACCAGTTCCATATGCTTGCAGTTGCTGTCAAGTACTAAGAGAAATAACCCATACTAATGGTGTGTTTATAATTATATGTAGCCAACAATTTTCAGTTTTAGAAGTTTCATAGTCATGGAGGAAAATAATCATTGTTTTGTCTTCCAATTCATGCCCAACGCGAAATAAAATACATTTTAATTGACTATCTCGTTCCTAAAAATCCAACCAAAAATGTTAAAAAAACTAGCCTTTTTTCTAGAAATTAACCTAATCCAGCAAGGAATCCGCATAATAAAGAAGTGGTTTATCTTACTTTCATTTCATTATGAGATTTCTATATTATTTTGGTTGTAAATGGTGAACTTCTATTGTTGTGTTTTGTCCGTGAATAGACTTTCAACATAAACCATATAATCTCGTATCTAATTATTTTTTCTGCTTTCTTTTACTACTATTTTGTGATCTCGTACGCAGCAAAGTTATAAATAGACCAAGATTACTAACTAATGATTGTTTTATTTGATTTTTCATCTGTTTAGTTTTTTTTTTTTTTTTTGCTTCTGTAATGTAATAACCCATCTATCTATACTACTAGGCATCCACATGACAAAACTCGAGATTCATGGAAGACTTGGTATGATTTGTCACGCAGTTCTGATGGATCGATATGTGCAATTGACTACACGAAATGATGAGTATCAAATGTTTGAGTAAGTCTGATGAAATGCTTGATTAGGTTCAGATTGTTAGGTAGTTGTTGATCCTTACTCTACATGCAATTGACCCACCCCAAATCCTACAATGACAAGAGTACTGTGTGTTGGACTCATTTTTTTATTTGTTTTTATAATATACTCTACAAGTGAAAATTGTCCATAATTTCTGGATTTAAATCTAGTTAAGCATTCAGTTTTATGAATTAATTTTTAACTCAGTTTTTGCAGGGAAAGCACAAGCAGTGTAAAGCAGTTCCTAGTTCAATACTGTGAAGGGCGTAAACAAGCTGGCTGCATTTTGCTGCAAGATCCACTTTTGATCTTCTATGAGACCTTGTGTGTTGGGTTAAGTGGGGATGACAACTTATTGGATACAGATGGTTTCCTTCAACCATCACCAACACATTCAGGTTGGTGAACTCTTGTGCCCTCTATACATGTAAAGGGTTTTTCATGCCACAACTTATTTCATGGATTACTTAATATTATCTGGCCACGCGTAATCTCTTTTTTTCAGTAAATAAATTTTTTATCTTGAATAAATGCGATATACAAGAACGTTCAGCTCCCACCTTAAAAATTCACTGAATATGTTCTATGGACCAAGGGGCGTGCTAGTGCTACAGTTTGAAGCAGAGTCAGGATTTTCTCTTGAGAGGGGTCAAGTAGTGGTATAAAAATGTATTTTTATTGAATGTGGATTATTTGATGAGTTCGTTAATTTTATAACATTTACATATATAGAACATATAAGAATTAATCTCACACGGTATAGTATAATTATTATTTTCAATAAAATGAATAAAGTTAATCGAAACTAGTTGAATTATTATATTTAAAAGTTAAATTAATTACACCATTAATAATTTATAATAGTCTAAAATTTACAAATTTGTACAATACCAAAATTTAATGCTGTATAAAAATGTCAAAATTTTAATATTTAATGGTTCAACATGGTTTAATCAATAGTCGGGAGGAAAAAATAAAATCAAGATTATAATTTAATGTATAAATTATCATTTCAAGAATTTGAGTGATTTATAAAATATGATCAAAACATAATTTTAAGGATATAATATATAATTTTAAAAAATTGAGGGGAATTTATATTATATATATTATCATTTTATCAGTCTTATTATTAAAATCAATTGTCTATCGTATAATAGATATTTACAATAATTTTACATTTGTATAAATTAAATTTGAGGTCATTTTTTAATAACTTTGTTTACGATGCACAAGATAACTATAAAATAGAGTAAACAGAAGTAATGCACTAGTTATCTTTTTTATTTAAAAACAACAATTTTTCTCCATGATATCTAACAACTAGGGATAACTCATGCCTAAAAATACAGTGCAACGTGAGTTAGAAATGAAGGATTTAGAGAGGAATTCAATTTGAATGATTTTAAGAGAGATGTTGGTGATTGTTAGATAAGTCTATTTGAGACCGTCAGATTAATTTATTGAAATATGTCATGTTTTATATTATAAATGTCGCATTTATTTTAAGATTACTCAACTTGTATAAATTCTTATTTTTATATATATTTAGAAAAAAAAATTATTTTACTAGTCAAACTAACTTTCTATGTTTCTCTTTTACATTAAACAAATAATATGTATCATTGTATTTGATCTCGTATTTGACTTCGATTAACAAAATTTTTATTTGTAAAATTTAAACTTAAAATTGGAATTAGATATCTCAAAAGACAAAACAAATAATTTGAAAATAAATATATTTTAATAAATATTTAATATTACTATTATTACTAAATAAATATTTATAGGGTCTGATATAACATTTTCGCCAAAGGCCAAATTAGGTTGGACTGCCTTGCTTAGGCCATAACATGGCTCTGCCACTGGCTGTACTAGTAGAAAAGTTAGGGGCCGGAAAGATGTTACTTACTGCTTGATATCTACTTTGCAATCCTTCACTGCCATGTTCGGTAACTTTTCTTCTTTCATCTATCCACCAGGTTATAAAAATAAAAAATAGAGAGAGAAAAGGGACGCAATCTAGCAGTAGTCGTTACAGATAAGGTCCATGAGAATTACTCATGGCATACAATATTTCTGATCTACAAAAATAAAATTTAGTCTCATAACCCAACAGGCTATATGTATTATGCTTACACACACAATCTATTTTTTTGGTGACAATGGCATCATATACATATTGGACATGTTATGCATCTTACAGGCAGATTGGGTACATAGCGGATTACAAGATTGTATTACAAGTTACATTATTAGAGATTCTCTTTTTCTCAAGTTGGCATGTTATGAGATTACGAGATTACAAAGGCTACTTTCTGTACAGGTGATTTTCAAATGAACAACCGCGAAATGGAGGCCCAACCGGAGCTTGTGAATCAAGCAGAGGCTGAGAGCAAAGCAGCCAGGCTTACTAAAACACCTCTTGCCGCGCAGGTTGTACTACGTACATTCTCATATCTTATGACAATGTCAACCTATACGCAACTTGTCCACTTCAACTATTCTCATTATGGTGATAATCATGTTGTGTTTTTTCACAGTTTTGTTCACGTCAATTTGAATTTGTATTCAATCTTAGTTAACCTCAACTCAACTTGTTAAATTAATTATGTGATATCATCTAAGACAAACTTGAAATTTTTATTTGAAGTGTCATGTTTAGGTTAGCACTCATAACTAGTGAATTATAAATCGAGACCTGGAACTCCCTTTTCTCTTTAAACTAACACAACCACCCAAACACTTGCAATAAACAAAAAATTTGTTCTGCTTACAATATGATGAAAAAAAAAAAATCCTAACTCTACAAAATTCATAGTTTCATAATATACTAAATAAATGAAAATTAAAAAAAAATTAACTTACTAAATGAGTTTTTATGGTCATAATTAAATTATTTTTGTTTTATATTGATACATCCCATTTAATATTAGTGTTGGCAAGTCACATTATTTTTTATTTTTTTTAAAGTAAATCCTAACCACTAATTTCGGACGGGTTGATCTCGTATTCAATAAATCATATGAAAAATATAGCATCCCTAATTCCCTCTGTCAAATGCTTTTTTGGGTCAGAATCAAAATGTTTCTTGCAATTCGAATTATGGCATCTGAACTTTAGATTCTACTATGTTAATATTCGTTTTGCTTGTTTTGTTGGCTTCATTGTACGGATGAGTAGTGCAGAGGGAAAGAACGGGAAAGTTAACTTTGAAAGATGTCAGACAGTATTTCAATCTTCCCATAGATGATGCGGCTAAAAAAATGAATATATGCCCCACTGTCATGAAGAAGATATGCCGCAGAGATGGGTTGTTACGTTGGCCATACCGAAAGGTCTCTCTCTCTCTCTCTCTCTCTCTCTCTCTCTCTCTCTCTCTCTCTCTAAGTTGAATCTACTGCACATATATTGTTGTGTGTAAGTGTCTCTATTTCTAATGGACGCAGATAAAAGCATTGAGAAGAAAATTTCAAAGAAAAAAGGAAGTTTAGCTGCTATTGATGTCAAAGAAAGGGCAGGGACACAAGCGGACATAGAGAGCCTTCAACAAGAACTTGCCTCTATATTTGTAGGATATAGTGGCTGATGTGACTTTGATCTTACTAGTAGATTAACTTTGGACCACAAAAATTTTAAAAAATATAGCTAGATACTATTTTATCTTATTTCTTCAGTGTGGTTGTCATAGAGAGATAGGCTTTGATATTATTCCGATGTACAGTGAGAGAAAACTGCCGTAATAATTGTACGAGAAGAATATTCCTTAAAAAAAGTTATAAATTTTGGCCTAATTTCCAGTTATCTCGTTAAATATTGGATTTCACTATTAATTTTTGTTGACTATTAATTCATCTATAAGTATTTTGTTATTAAATGTGTATATATAATTAGATTATATTAAACTATATTAAATTTAAATCACACAAAAACAAAATTTACCTTGTATCTATATACAATTTATATGCAACCAGTTTATAGAAACCAAAATTAACAAGCAACCTAATACAGTTTGTATACTATTACATACAAACTAATCTAAACATAATATATAACAAGGAAAATCAGTGCACTCAAAGTGATGTAGATCTGTATGAACAGTCAAATTAGAAAACCAGAATATATAATTCGAATCTTGTGTAACACAATCTCCTTAAGACAGATTTGCTCCTCTTGGCGCTCAAGGTTGACAAGAAACTGCCTCCCAAGATAAAATAGATTTCGTCTTTGCAAAAATAGCACTTTAATCTCCAAAGATCAACAAACACAACTTGTGTTTGTACTTGAATCGAATAATAAACAGAATGCAGAAAGAGAGAGAGCAAATGCACTAATATGTAGAAAGTCAGTCTTTTAAATTTGTCCTCAAAAATGGTAGAGAGGCAGTCTATTTATAGACTCGTTGTGTCTGCTTGAATCACCTGAAGAGACGCACCAGTGCCCGTTCAAATCGAAGAGACAGACCCTTTGATCTGAACAGTAGCGAAAATGGAAAGACACGAATAGATAGGAACAACACCAAATTCAAATTCTAACAGGCAGAAAGTTTTAAATTTCAGTTGAAAAGCTAAGACTGATCTGCGATTATCCTAGTAAGAGTTCCTAAATTGAAAGAATTCAAAAAGAAACCAACTATCCCTTGATCTGTGCTTAAAACTCATTGCACAGTTGACCCTCGAGAATCCTTCCTTAGTTTGCCAATTATGAGAACAAAAATTACATAATGGTGATTGAATTGTGGATATAATGAAGATATTTTCTCTTAAAACAACAACTATTCCCAAACATTTTGCTGAAATCACACCCTTTTATTCAGTAAACCAATGCACCAACCCCACACTTCCATATTGATGTTACCGTTTCACTAAGGAATTTTCAAAAAAAAATATTGTGAGGATTGATGAGCCCAGATTCAACTGGGTCAGGCCTAAATCTGCTAAGGGGCAGGCCAAGCCCAGTTCGACAATTCGACCCAGCCCAAATTCGAAGGAGTCCAAGAATAATTAGAGCACATGGAGAGCAATTATCAGGATACTCACACTCGAAGATCAAGACAACCTTTAATTGCACTTGTCTTTTGTAGCTATCCGAAGAATTAGTATATTTACCCTCACGTCACCGCCTCACCCAAGGACTTTATGCTTATAAATTGTAAGCTCTCTCTACATGGGAGGAACCTTTTTGTATATCTACACACCCCTCTTAGAGCTAACAATTGCTCTCTCTCTCTCTTTTTCTCTCTCGTTCACCTTACTTGATTAATAAAGGTTCTCCGGCCACTATTGTAGTTTTTCGAAGTGGAGTAGGTCACCCGAACCGAACCACAATATAAATGTGTATTGACCCGATATTTACCTTATTGTCATTAATTGCTTTATTAATTGCCTCATTGATTCCCTAGCATCA